GACATGCCTCCGAGCACACTGAATGTATATGCAAGAAGTAAGAATTCAGTTACAAAGCTAAGCTGCTTCCTGTTTGTTCACGGCGGTATATTTTGGCAAAGCCAAGGCCCACCCTGTATATTTTGGCCGTTGCTTTATACATAAGCCACGATCATCAATAGTCAAGTGAAAACAAAGCAAAATGGTCCAATTCCCCCCTCCAAGCTCCATGAGGTTTTGATATTTAACTCTGTTTCTGGGAACAACTCTTGCAAAACTAAGGGTTTACAGCACAACAGGCAAGTTTGTTTGCATTAGAGCAGTGCTATCAAAGATTTCTCCCCACTTCAAATCAATGAAGGGCATTGAGTAATATGAATGGAGACACAGGTTCAATCCAAATTCCCTCCCAGCGAACTGGGCAGACCAGTACATAGCAAAATAGGCCTTTTCCCAGGGTGGAACCGTCATTTCTCTTGAAGAGAAACCACCACCCAGATAAGAAACTAAGGAGGGACCACTTTGATTTCCAGAGGGTGCATCTACATGTGCATTAGTGTACTTTAGGTAATGCGCATTAAATCTAGTACCTCCATTGTGAGGTACTAGAAGAAGGTGCATTAGCCTATTTTAATGCACATTAGCTAAAAAGCAGGTTTTTGTGACGCTTTAGTGCTCATTAAAATAAGCTAATGCACATTAAGCACATGTGTAGACACTCCTAGAGGGTGTTGGGACCCAGAGGCCTTCAGGCCTGGGTTTGATCTTTGTGCTCAGCTCAAGCTGCATGCTTTGCTTGAATTGTGGTCAAGACTTGCACCCAGTAAAAGGAGCAGATGGGAAAATACTATCCCTGACTTAAAATAAATCAGGAAGTTGGCAAGCTAAATTGAATAAATATAACCTGGGCAAAAAAGGAACAGTCAGAGCAAAACCTACCCCCACCTAAGAATGAAAAGTTTACGTCAAAATATAAAATTTCAGTTAAAGGTAACCATATTTGGCAAACAGAAGCAAGATGATTAATATGCATTAGGAGGAAGGTTTAAGTTAATTTTATGTATTAAGAAATGCAAATTATACGATATATAAAAAAAGTGAGGGCGTGTACCCTTCGAAACACTCTTGAAGAAAGCCTGAAGAGATCCCATCATTGATCCAAGATCCTGTTTTGATATCAGACGTGGGAGCCAGGAGCCCTGGACAAGACTTCACGGCCTGATCACCCAGTGAAGTTGCGTTCACAACATTCGGGGTGGTGAGCATCTGCTTTGACTAGCTACAAGCCTAAATTTTTAAACTGCTACTGTTACTTCAGTTTTAAGTAGAATGGTATCTGTTACGGTTCAGTAAACTCTCTTTAGTTTAGGTCAACTGTGTCGTAGTCTCCTTGCCTGGTATAAGACTGATCATAGTGTCATAGGAATGCAACAAACTGGCGGAGAATGCGGGCAGCCAGGTAACGGGTGCGGACTGTGGATGTAGGTTCCCCTGTGTTGTTCGGACTGTGAATGTAAGTCCAGCAACATGGCACAATCGTTTTTGGCCTGTGAAGGGATGCAGGTCAGATCATGTCATGTGCAGATGTGTTCAAGACCAAAAACACATGCACAGTTGTTCTTGTTTGCACCAGTGTGCAAGTCCACTCAGGGGAACGGATCCATCCATCCTGTTACTAACCACAGGGGGGAAATCATAACCTCACCCATGAGCATGTCTTGAGCATGTCTCTAGTGCCCCAAACACAACTGACTATGCATGACCAAGACAGGAAGGATCATGCCACAGTCTGGGTGTTATGCCAGGACTGCAGAGATCCAGCTTCAATCTTGGAGTCTGCCCCACTCTTCTGTCGTGCCCTTGAGCAAGTAACTCAGACCTGGTCCACACTGCAAAACTCTGTTGGAGTTACCTAGGTCAGGTACGGGCAGAGGAAGAGCGCACCACCTTTTGGACATAGCGATGCTCGCATTACCCCAGCTGACGGGGCAGTGCTGTGGGTGGCTCACCATGCATGACTTGCAGAAATGTGGCAGCAAAGGCGGCAGATGCTGCACCTGCACTAGGACGCATCGCCATTTAGCCTTTCCGAGGTAGACATGGCAGCAGGGACTCCAGTGTGTAGACATGGCCTCCGTCTCTCTGGGTTGCCATTCCCCCTCTGCCCAATGAGGATAGTCATCACTGGTAATCCTTCACAATCGAGGATGATTGTCTTCCATGATGACCTTATCTGTTGTTCCAAAGATGCCTGATAGGGCCAATCCACAAGTGACAGGCTCTCTTGCAACTTGGGCACGTGTTTGTACGCAGGGTGGGTGGCTCTGGATTTTTGGTTTGTCATGGGAGATACCTGTGCGTGATTTCCTTTTTCATGAAGCTGCTGCACATCAGCTTCCACACAGTTCTTGACAGAATGGGACTTTGATCCAGTGGCAAGGAGACCAAGACAACTGGAGATCTCATTCTGCCGCAGCCTTCGTTCACCTCTGCAGCCGTTGAGGTTTTAACATCTTCTTCCACCTGCTCCACCACTGAGGAATTGTAGACCCATGGCTGGGGGCTGGGTAGGCTTATTATAGTGGCAACCTCTACTTGCCATGTCGCAGCACTATCAAAGCATGTATGTGGCTTTTCAGGAGGGAGAGCATTGCCATCTGCTGTCCCCACCATAGCCTGGTGGTGCTGCCACTGCTTATCCATCATTTAACCTTCTCTCGTTCACCACTAACCTTCCCTGAAGGGAAGCCAATCCACTACCTGTGGACACGGTGAGAAGCAGCATGGCTCTGCCACCAGAAACAGGGAAGTTGCCTCATGTAGCCTTGTCAGTGATGGGTTAATTCTCACGGGGATGAGCTGCCATAGTGATTCTCAACCAGGGTGCCATCAGATCTGGGTGCTGTGGGGTGCAAGGCAGTGTTAGTGCTGTTAGGTGCACGGACATGATTGACAGGTGAAACCAGAGATCCTATATATAGCACTCCCCAAGTGCCCGAATGATCCCCATCTCCTCCCCATGCTGCTGCTCTGCTTTCTGCTCCATTCCCTGTGCTCCCGGCCCAATTCGCTGCTCTGCTTTCCATTCCCTGCCCCATCTGCTGCTGTGCTGCCTGTCCGCACCCTGATCTGTCACATGCCATGCACGGAGGCTGCCGGTGCTACTCGTGGCCTCGGTGCCACAGGTTAACCACCCTTTTCTGTAGTCAAAATACCAGTTGAAAGCTCAGAGCTGGCATTTTCTGAGGGAGCCCTGGAGTCTAACAAGGGGCCCTTGGTTGAGAATCACGGGGCTAACAGATCCAGCGGTGCTAATTAGCCAGCCTGAAGTGCCACGTGAATGCGGGAATGCTGTTCTGGATTAAGAGGCAACAGTGCATTCAAGGATGTCACTCCAGAGCAAGGTACATTTAGTGTATAGTCAGGGCCTGAGATGCTCAGGCGCTACAAGGAGCAGGGCTCCGCAACTAGCTAGGATAGAAGTCAGGGTCATGCGTGCATGTTTGCTGGTGACCCCGACCTGGTGCATTCGGTGAACCTGATTTGCTCTGGCTTTGCCCCAGGGATGCTCCCTAGCACCAGGGCAATGTACCTGGGAATTTGACTGTCCTGATCTCCCAGTTGGTTTCCCCCACTTCTCTCTGGATCCAGCGTCATAGCATAAGGCAGGCGCACAGTAAACCAAGTCCCATTCATGAACCTGCCCCAGCCCCGAGGAAGTCAGGGGAAAGACCCTGATGGGTTTGGATCATCTCGTCTGGTCCATCAGGGCTTGAAGCTGTGTCCACACAGCCAAGGAAAAGCCAGGCCTGGCTCTCATGCAGGGCTGAGCTCCTGTTTAGCACTGAAATAACAAGCGCCAAGCTGCCCTGAACTGGGGGACAGGAAAGATTAGCAATGTGGGGGTGGCCACTTACTCCTGGCTGCTGTGACCATCTGTAGACATGCAGAACCTGGGCCCCAAATATCAGCGCCAAACCCTTCAGGGGCCTCTGCAGCCCGCGCCTCCCTGCCTTAGCTGCCTCGGATGGAGGGAGAGGGCAGAGGCAAGGGAACGGTTAGCACGGTGCCGCTTCAGCAGTTCCCTGGCCTCTGTCTTTAATCATTAAATTCCCGGGGGCCCCTGCAGGGCCCGAGCAGAGCGACCCTCTCTGCAAAGAAGCCGCGGGTGGATGCCTCCCTGTTTGTTTGTCTCCCTGCACCAAGGCGGGCACGGAGCAAGGCCCCGCCGTCCAAAATATGTGAGCAAACACACAGAGGAGAAGTCCAGCGCCACAAGCTCCGGCTCGGCAGGCTAGCTGCAAAGACGCTATCACTTTCCCAGGGGCGGTGGGTGGGGGGGGAGCCTGGAGCATTTAAGCCGGGGCCAGATTCTCCCCTCTGGAGCGAGCCAGGCCCCTCAGGCTGCAGCGGTTTTCTCTGCCAGGGCATCAAGCTCCAGCATGCATATTTGTTTAATCCACCCCATTTCTGCCCTGCACCACCGTCCCAGGAATGTCTCTCCCAGGCCGGGGTCAGGGCTGGATTTTTGTGCATGATCGACGTCGCCTATAGCCGGGACCCCTTCTTCGCCCTCGCCCCCATCCCACTCCTCTCCCAGAAGGGTTGCGATCAGATGCACGGCCTAAGTGGAGACATGTGTAGCCGCTGAAACCAGCAGTGAGAGCTTGCAAAGGCACCGAGCTCCCTCCTTAAGGAGTGGGAAGGTCCGAGACAGGAGGGAAGAGGGGGGTGGGAAGGGGGTGGGGGGACGGGCTAAGGGGGTGGGGTGGGAGGTGTGGACAGCTAACCCTGTGGTTCCCTGCCTGAGGATCACATGGTGGTTATGGCCAGCCAATGGGGTCCTGGCCATGCTGATTTTTATACCTGCCTCCCTGCTCTAAAACTACAGGCATTCACTGAGAGCCTCTCAGACTGGCTGAGAGGCAGAGCAGGGAGGAAGAGGTTGCATCCAGAGCTGAACTTTTTTTTTTTCACTTTTTTTTTCCCCCTCCCTCTCCCTCCCTCCCTCTCTCTTACAGGAAGCCCTCTCTACCTTAGCCTTGGAAAGAGCCCCTTTTCATAAAATCAGCTGAAGGCACCCATTCACAGCCAAAAGGGGGTTGTGAAGAAAAAAAAAAAGCAAGCCAACCTTAAAGATTTTGCACTCAAAGAAATCAAAAAGAGAAGTGGCCAGAGGTCCACCCGGAGAAAACTTCAGGCTGCTTTTTTTTTTCCCCCCTGTCTGCTCTACAAAGACCTTGATAGAGGCTCCAAAAGCTCCTTTTAAATAATAATAATAAGCAGAAATCCACTGTTTGTGCCAGAATAAATCAATCGCTGGCAAATGATTTCAGCAGGGATTAGCTAAGCGCCCTACCCCAGTCCCTCTGGAAAACACAGATCTGATCAATGGATGCCTGGTGAGCCCTTTTGGCTTAAACAAAAACTATCGCCGTTGCCAAAAAAAAGTGTGTGTCACGGGGTGGGGCAGGGGGGAGAGTTGTGTTGATTTTTTTTTTCTTCTCCTTGAAACTTTATGAATGAAACTGGAGTAAGGATCCTGTCTTGGAAATAACACGCTGGTAAATTTTATCCTGGGAGTAAGGGGGAATGGTTAGAGGGGGTGGTCTTAGCTCACAAATCGAGAGGCGGCTGCTTGCAAAAACAGCGTGCTTCTCTTTTTTGGGGGGTGGCTTGAAGCTGCAGGGTAGATGCTGGAGGGAGGCAGCTCCACAGAGGGAATAACTGGGAGAGATCCCCCCCAAAATTGCCATAGCAATTTTTTGGTAATGCCCTCTCTCTGCTCTGGGTGGAAGTAAACAGGCTGTCAGCATTTTCCTCTTGCTAAGCGGAGCTAAAGCAGCAGCAGCAGCCAGCCCGAGTGAGAATCAGCAACTTTCTTTTTAATTTCGGGATCTGGGTGCTTATTCTTTCTGGGACAGGACAAGAAGCGTGTGTGTGTGTGTGTGTGTGTGTGTGTGTGGGCAGGAGAGAGGGTGCCTTTCTGCAGATGGCAAGGCGAGGAGGTCAGAAAATGTCCTGCAGTCAGTAAAAAAAAAGGGGGGGGGGGTTCCTTTTTTTTTTTCTTTTTTTGAGCGCGACATCTCAAGTCAACTCTTTAAGAAAGCAAAAAAATTCAGCCCCGCGCTTCCATGCCCTCCTCAATTGGCTTTTTGAAACTGCAGATCCTTTGAGACAGACAGGGGGGAGAGAGGCAGAGAGAGAGGGAGAAAAAATCCATCTTGCTCCCAAGGAGAGCCGGCTGCAAGCTGGAGAAGGCAGGCAGAATAAACCTATTGTGGAGCTGAAATGCACTGAAATATAGCAGCAATAGAAAAGCCCAAGCCAACAGCACCCCTCCTTGCACAAACGTAATTGCTCAGTGAAAATAGTTCCAACTTCAGGCTTTTTTTTAAAAAAGAAAACTTGTGATTTGTTTGCTTTGAAGGGGGAGAGGGAAAAAAAAAAAAAGGGGGCGTTTTTTTTTCCGCCCCCCTCCCTGTGAAACCTTAAAAGATAAAATTACTGGATCTAAAAATAAAGCAGTGGTTAAAACCTTTCCCCCACCCCTTACAACTCCCCCCCCCACCCCTCCCATTTCTCCCTCTCTCTCTCTATGTGTGTTTGCATTCGACAAAGAAATGATTTGAACTTCCCACTGCCTCATAAAAAGGAAACAGAATAGCAGTTTTGACATATGGATGTGATTTCTCCGCTCTGACACAGATGCACACACACTCACAAGCCTGCTCCTTTTCACATGGACTCGTTGCCTACATGCATGAAGCGGCTGGAGGTGCTCAGCAATGAGAAGGCGAAGAGGAGGACTGGGCTGGCTTGTCATTTGCCTCTCGGGCTGAGCGCCATCCGGCCAGACCTCTGAAGGGGTCGCGGTGGAAGGACAACTCCTCTCCAAGCCCGGATCCCTGCAAGAAGCTTTCTCTCCTCCTCCCAGCTGCCCAGAGAGCTTCTTGGATGCTGCCCTAAGCGTCTTGGCTATGGGATCATATCTGGTTTATCACAGCCTGGGTTTGATCCTCTGCTGCTCCGTGCTAAGTTCTGTCTACGCGCTGGTAAGTGCCTGAAACGCTCTCCTTCTCTCTTCCCCCTTCTCCTTCTTGAGCAATTGTTTCGTGGCGCTTTCCTCGATGAGTAATTTACTGCCCGGAGATTCAGAGCGCTGGGTTTTTCAGCCTGATGTTGTGTGTCTCGCGGTGGAGCCTGGCCGCTTCTGGGCTGGGAGATGAAACGAAAATGTCTGGATTTTCCCGAAGCTTTGGCATTAGTTTTTTTTGGGTTGTTTTTTTTTTTTTTTTTTCCCTCCCACTCCCAAAAAACAGAGAGAACATTTATAACCCAGGTATTGGAAGTATTCTCCGGGCTAGCCCCGCTCCAGTCCCTAGCCAAAGTTGTCCCGTTACAAGAGGCCACGGTTTTGTGCCTTGACATCCAGGACGAGGATCTGAATCTTAACGGACTCGAATTGGAGCTGAATTTCAGCAAACCCTTGCTCCGGGCTCTGGCAGGCTCTGTACAGTAGCATGCCGGATCCACTGTGCAGTTCACAGCGTCAGCGCATGGATAGCATACCGTTTACACTCAGAGAATGAAAGTAGTATTAACTCTTTACTAGCTCAGGCTGTGTGTGGATGGGGATGTAGGTACACAGGGAGATTTCCTAGGCTGGAGATGCTCTTAAGCACCGCGGACGCCGTTGTCTTCCCAAGTGGGGCCATGAGAGATTTAGGTCCCAGCTCTGCGGCCAGGGGTGACTTGTGCCTAAGCCTCCTAGGAGCCCACCCTGCCTTGTGCTCCTGTATGAGCATCTTCCTTTCTTTCCCTCTCCGCCGTTGCGGGTGTCACAGCACATCCCTGTGGCTGCACACGCGTGAACGGTAGTCGGGACGGTCACCGTTCAGGATGGGGATCTGCTTCAGACATCAAACATGAGATCAGGTTGGGAAGGTCCTGGGATCTTCCCATCTCCACTCAAGCAAAGTTCCCGCTGAGTTTTGTGCGTGTCGGGGATGGGCCTGTTGCTTGGGGAAATGCGAAACAATGCAGCACTCCAGTTTTTAGGACATGTGGCAGGGTGTTGTCAATTAAAAGGCTCCTTGTTAGACAAGGAGAAAGAGCAGTCTATAAAACTCACCACCACCCAGATGTTCTGGCTATGGGCAGACTTCTCTGGCGTCGTGTCTGGGATACACTGTGTATAGGCAAGAAAAAGCAGGGTCCACTCCAGGAGATGTGCTGATGGGGGGGGAGTTTGCAATAGCTATGGCTAAGGATGTTTCTTCCCGACCCCTCAGGTCCAGCATCTCGCTGCACCCAAATTACCCCGCTCTGTGACATCCAGACCCCTTTGGATGATAGTGTGCTGCAGTTGAATATGCAACACCTGCTATCCCTGCGCTGCTCAGACCTGCTTCTCTCCGAGTCGATGGCAAAATCCCCAGCAACTTCAATGGGTGTTGGTGGGATCCTGGTGCCCTGCAATTGTTCAGGCTGAATTCCCCAAATACCAGCAGCAAGGATAGATAGGGGAGGATGCAGGGTCCTACCCACTTCCTTGCTTCTAGTCTCCCCTTTCCACGGCGGGTCCCTGCTACTAGCAGAAAGCACGGGAAATATCTGTGGGACCACAGGCAACACGCACAGACAGGCTGTCTCAGTTGCCACGTCCTGGTAATGGACATTTCACCTGCAGATTATTCACAGAGCCAGTAAAAATTTCAGCAAATAGACAACTGCACATCTTAATCTCTGGGATTTGCTTCGCAGCAGGGGAGGGCTGCTCAGATACATGCATCGCACTGTGAGTGACTTCAGGGCTCGGGGGAAGGATGAACCGGGTTGTGTTTGGAGCAGGAGTAAGACCAGAGAAAGCAAAGGAATCACTTGCAGGGAGCTGCTCATTGCCTAGTGCGTTGTGTTGTCGGCATTTGTGTTTGCACCCAGAGGTACTAATTCAGCCCTGGGGTTTGGTAAGGTTGTGCTCATGTAACACCATTCATTTTAATTAGGCACCAGAATCCCTGGCAGTGAAGTACACTTATACTAGGCTACTAGGCATCATTTCTGTAGTTCCTTCCTAGAGAAGGGTGTCAAAAAGTGATTGATCTGCCAGGGATGGTCAGTAAGGTTGTCAAAGGGGTTGCAAACTGTTCACATCTGGTGAAATTCCCCACGGCTTTGGCTTTTGCCAAGGAGGAAAGAGAGGGTCATGATCCTGAAGCTTAAAGCATTTGTCACGCTGCTGCATTGCAACCTGCAGTATGCAGCCAAACTGGAGCTGGGGCAGGATCCCTTCCCGCTTTGCACATGAAAAGTACCAGCTGTGCATGGCACTGACCCAGTAGAGAGCGTATGGTGCTGCTCAAACCCCATAGCAGAGCCCCTGGAGGTAGCTGGATAGATACAGCAGGATCCCAATGTATTCGGTAGCCTGCTCTTACAATGCGTTCACTTCTGGGGTGGTGAGCAACAGCCCTGCCGCGTAACAGCAGAGGATATGCAGACAAGGGGTATTTGCAGCAGACCATACTGTGCTGAATGTGGCTGGTGATCTTTAAGGTCCATGCAGAGCAAACAGGAGCTCCCTTCTTAAAGTCTGAATTAAAAGTCCCCCCCCCCGCCACAAGGCAGCTGATCGACTTGTGAAAGGCACTGGGCTAAATCAGCGATTCACAACCAGCGTGCTGTGGGGTGCCATGATAGCCTTTGCAGGGTGCCGCACTGTTAGAAGCACAGACACCTATACACAATTCACAAGATAAACCCAGGTTCTTTGGGGAAATGTGATATATCTTTGATTACACCCACTAAGGAGTTGGAAAAAAAATTTTTCTTTGCAAGCTTTCAGGCACAAACAGCCTTCTTCAGGTGTTTCTTATTAGACCCACTTCACCCTTCTTATTAGACCCACTAAGTAGCTGGAAAATTTGTTCCTTGCAAGCTTTTGGGTGCAAACACCCTGAAGAAGGGTGTTTGCACCCAAAAGCTTGCAAAGAACAATTTTTCTTTTTCCAACTACTTAGTGGGTCTAATAAAAGATATCACATTTACCCAACAAACTTTGTCTGCCTATGTCCTTAGACCAACACGGCTACAACCAACACCCCCAAAAGATAAACCCAGAGATTCCCAATAGGAAACCCAAGTATCCCAACCCTGCTGCCCTGTTGCGGCTTTTCTCAGTCCTTTGCCACGTAAGACTCACTCTAGCATTTTTTCCATTCTCCAGAAAGGAGTGAAAGCTAAAAGCTGGCATTCCCAAGGGGCTTTGAGTCTTTAAAAGGTGGAGAGCCACCGGGCTAAATGAACCTGCTTGGGCTTTGCGGCTGTGCTTCTTGAGAGGGAGAAAGGACTAGCCTAAAAGCTTGCTCACTTCCATGGCTGGATTGCTTTGGGTTTATGGCCCAGGGGCTGAGATCAGAGCGTGGGTACATTCACATTGCTACCAGCCCCCACAGAAAACCGTCCGGAGAGAGCAAGGGTGGAAAGCACGGAGCACGTTATGCCCTCCAGAGCCTGCCTAAACCCTTGGCTTTTGCAGTGCACTCGTGCGGGCTGTTTCAGCCTTCGCTGCAGTGCAATATGTAAACCCCCTTGTGCGACGTGAAGCACAAAGAGGTGGGAAGAGAGAGGGGTCCTTCCTTTCCATACGCACTTCTCACTTCTGCCGGCCGCCTTCTTGCCCCCGTGGCTCAGGTGTCACGGCCCCGCGAGGTTGCACCCATGCAAAAATCAGATCCGGATTCCACCGATCAAAATCAGAGGAATCCCACAGGTTTTAGTGGCATCACCCCCATCTTACCATTCGCGCTCAGATGAAAACAGAGGTTGACCGACTTGGTGGGGGCAGCCACACAGTTGTACTCGAGGTGCTGCCGGGTGTGAGCTGGGTTGGGGTCGGCCCTAGACCGGTTGCCTGCAGCCATCACCCTAAAAGCTGAGCGGTGTCAGGACACCCCCACAGCAGGTCAAGACCCCCAGGCACTAAATTATGATCTCAAAGGGGGTTTAAAAGCTCTCCGAAGAAGAGCCTGCTGTGAAAAACACCTCGAGCAAAAAAACCCAGGAATTTTATTTGTTTTTAGCTGTTTCCTCCTAACCCGGCAGCCTTGAGCACTATCATTGGAACAGCTGCTCTGTGCAACGCCTCTGTGCTGCCTTCTGTATTCATGATCTCTTGCCGTGGCTCCCGTCGCAGATGAGCTCTGCTTCGAGGCCGGCGTTAACAGAGACGGATCCTCAGCGGCGTAAACCGACATCGTTCCAGTGCCCGGGCTGGTTTACGCCTCTCGAGGAGCCAACCCCATAATGTTTCTAACTGTCAGCACCGCAGTTGCAACCGGAGAGCCTCTTCTGCCGTTAGCTTTTGCTAAGCATTGTGCAAACAGCAGCAAGCTGCCGGTTCAGCGGATACCCAGGGAAGAACAGGATCTGTCTTGTTCTTCAGAGCTTTGATTTTCACCGTAATATTGCCTCCTAGTTTGCAAAAGATTCGGAGGCAGGTTCTCATCCTGATGTGAATTGGCACCACTATGCTCTCGACAGCGACGTTTTGATGGGTATCACGCTAAGGATCTGGCTGTTGATAGATGAACCGGCCAGAAGTCAGGCACTTGTGTTATGTGCAAGTCAGTGTATAGAGAGGAGATAAAAGTGCTGTTTTTAGAATAATTAGAAAATTAGTCCAACCCCTGCTCCAAGCAGGACCAGCCCCAACTACATCCTCCCAACCAAGGCTTTGTGTAGCCGGGTCTTCAAAACCTCCAAGCTTGGAGACCCCACCACCTCTCTAAGTGACCCATGCCAGTGCTTCACCACCCTCCTTGGGAGAAAATGTTTCCCTAATATCCTAATTTTCCTAATATTTTTATCTAGTCGATGTGCAAGCAAGCAGAATGTCTTAATGACACGGGGAAAAGTTTGGAAGGATTTAAATGGGCTGATTAAAATGAAAGCAGGGTGGGAGAGATCATCATGGCCTGTCTCAGCAAGGGAAAAAAAAACCTAACAAAATCTGTAGCAATATCCCACAAATCCAGGGAGCTGTCTAACTTCA